CAGTCCACAGCCAAGTCCAGGGGATGGAGACACAAGCTAAATGACACCCTGGGGAAGCCATCAGCCAACACCAGGATGTGGAATGGTTTACAAGACAACCGACCCCCGCTTCTTCAACAGATCGATAATAAGGGATAAAAAGAGAGCGGGGACTGTTCTACACTGAATGAAACTCAAAAAAGACTTGAGATACAATTAAATATAATGATGGATCTTGTCTGGATGCTGATTCCAACAAACCAACTGTAAAAAGACAGCTTAGTCAATCAGGGAAACTTGAACATATGTTGTGCATTAGGCAACCTTTAAGGACTCACTGGTAATTTATTAGATGTAATAATGCACTGTGGTGATGTTTTTTAAAAAGTCCTTTTATTTATGGGTGCAGTTATTTAAGAGGGGAATTAGATGTGAGTACAAGACGGTAGATGGCAAATTATAATGGCTACTGAAGCTAAGAATAAGCATGGAAGTGTGTCAGTTTCTAATTGTTCGAAAATTTCTCATGATGATAAAATAAAGGATGGCAATCCAGAAGTGAGAATACTGTACGTGCAGCCTAAGCAGCTAGAGGGCACTAACACCGCTGACAAATCCATGTGCTGTCACGGAGCGCCTCCCATCCTGTGTTTAAATCATTCGATATTTAAACACGTCTCAGATATAGGACTTATTGTTTCCTATTAAATCTGCCTTTCGGGATTCAGTCCTTTGTTGAGACAGTGGTTTTTGATGATCACCCAACATCAAGCATTTTTCAAACTAGGATTTTTTTAATAATCTGATAAGCACTGTACAACTAAACAGAAGGCAAGCTTCATTCCAATATCCTCAAAATCCAACAGAAAAACACAGAATAATTTTATTAGGAACATGAAAGAGATAGGAAGCCCTACCTCTCTGCAGCTTCTTCACTCACACCCTATGATCACCTCCACGGGGGTTCTTTTCTACCTTGTGTCTCTTATTGCTTCTTTTAATCATGGAAAATTTCAGACACATCCAGAAGTAGAGCTCCCGGGCATCCTCTGGCCACCTTTAACAATTATCAGCATTTTCCAAATCTTGTTTCATCTACCTCTCTCTGACCTGGTTTGTTTTCTGGCTTTGGTTTTGGTTTTTGGGAGCATTTTAAAGCAATTCCCACATACCCCATCAGCTCCCCAGCCTTGTGACGGCACTTCTTCGGCATCCATCGCACTGCAGTGGATTCTGTTTGCACAGCAATGCAGGATCTCCTACCGAACCGCTGGTCTTCAGAAACAGGATTGCTTTACGGATTAGGAACCAGCACGGACACTGGCCCATGGTGGGCACTCCATACACACTTGGAATCCACGTGCAATTAAGGGCAACAGATTGACTGCCACAGACTTAATTAAGAACAGGTCTTAATTCACAGAACACGTCTTAATTCACAGAACACATAATGCCTCAGCCATCAAATCCAGATTGAGCCAGAAGTCATTTACTTGGGACTGAAGACTGGCAGCATTAGAGTGGTGGCCGTGTAGCATGGTGGTTGAGGATGCAGGCTCTGTGGGCAGATGTCTCAATCTGAATCCCAGCTCTCCTACCACCTGCCGAGTCACTGGGTTGGGCAGATGCATTTCCCAAAGATGGCGGCAGTATCTCCTGTCCCACTTGCTCTCCGGGGATATGGCCATTTCCCCATCAGGAGGTGGAGTTTACGTTCCGTCCTCCTATGTGATATCCAAGGCCAGCTCACGGAAGGCAAGGCAGCTCCCGCCCTGCTGGCTGGAACACCCACACGGAGCTCTGTGCTGCCATGTAAGTGTCTGACTACCCTGAGACCGCCATGCTGTGCGGAGGCCCGAGGGCCACACAGAACGGTTCTGTGATGAATGGAGAGCCACCTGGCTAGCCCCATGTTGCTTCGGCCCCTCGTTCTCACAGTCCCCACTATCTTCACTCCAGGTCAGACTAGCAGCTGCATGAGTGACCCCAAACCAGAACTGCCCAGCCAAGGCCTTCCTGAATTCCTGACCCACTGAAACCATTAAAAAGAAAACTGTTGTTTTAGGCCCATCAAGTATGGGGATGATTTGTTTTGCAGCAATAACCACAACACTGAGCAAGTTACTTAACCCCTCTGTGCCTCAGTGTCCACATCTTTAAAATAGCCGTAATAAAAGTACCTACACCACACTGGGCTTTTACGACTATTAAATGAGGTGAGAATGTAACTGTCTGGCACACTGTGGCCCTCAATAAACGTCAGCAACCATCATCTGCGAAACGCACATGGCTTAAAAATCCTGACCAACCTAATAAAGATATCATTTCCAAGTTCTCCCATGCCAGGCAGGCTGATACATTTTGGAAACGGGTGTATTCCATAAATGAAAAATCAACTTCCAGGTGGCTGAGTTTTGCATTCTCTCAAGGACTGGGGAGAAAAACAGAATTTAAAACATGGCTCGCAGCCTGTTAACTTGCACATTATAAGTCACCTGAGGTGCAGGAGTGTCTGGGAGGGTGGCCTTTGGTTCCACGTCCCCCTCTGAACGCGCCTCAGAACGCAGACACAAGAGGCCCGGGAACCACTTTCTCTTTTGCTCTCAGGCACAAGTAAACTAAGTAAAAGGCAAAGTTTCTCACCAATTATACCTCTGGAGAGACCTCAATATCCTTAAACTACAAATTTTTCTCTTGCATGAAAACGTGGGTTTTTATACTCATTTGGTGAAGTTCCTTAGTAGCTGCGTCTGAGAATGGCATGGTTTGCTAAAATAAAAGACAGTTACGGAGCTCAAAGGATGGCATGAGGGTCACTTGTTAGAAGTGGTTCAAGACAAACACACGAACAAGAGAAGGCGCACATTTCTGTCTGGTACCAGTGACAGCAACCTCTAATCACTAATGTCCAACAACCTCTAATCACCAATGCCCAATGATCTCCAATCACTAATGTCGCACTTGTTTCCTGAAAATTATAGCCATTACCATTTACTCACTCAGTCGTTAAATAATACAACCCATCTCTTAAGTATTTTGTACACTAGGAGTTGGGACACTTTTGGTCTTTTCTGGAGTTTTAGATCAAGAAGGGGGAGCTTCAGAAAAGTATGAGCTAGGACCACATGGAGCCTCCCCATTAAAGGAGAGCACTTCAGTTTCCCATTTGCTGTTTTTCCCTTCAAAGCATCCCCTCTCTCATGGCAGTGCCCTGTGAAAATTACTGCTCAGATTCCTTAACAGCTATTATTAGGGCCAGTATCAACTGAGACACTGAATATTCTGGGTGGAGATATTAACAGGCCATGAAAGAAATAACGGAATTAAAACAAAAGAATCTTTTTTTCCAGTACTGTGAAGACATTAAAAAAAATTCAACTCAGTAAAGCCCCTTAAAGAAGAATTCAAGCATAAGGAACCAAAGACTTGATGAGGACTTAGCTAAAGTTGCAAGTCGTAATTTTAGAATCATAAAAATGTAAAATTAAGCAAGTTGAAATTTTTTTTATCCCAAAGACAGTATCATCCGTATCCTCTTGGTTACACCCAGCACTGATCATCCACCAGAGCTCACTTTCATGATACAGGAGTCAAACTTTAATACATAGTTCCCCCAAATTCCAAATTTTAAACGCTTTACTTAGTAATGTATACCCCTGCGTAGGGCAGAGTGCTGGTGAGGAGCACATTGAGAACCAAATGGTACTTACTTTCATGAAAGACAGATGATTGTGGCTGACGGCACAGAGGCAGGAAGGGGAAGGCTGTGAGGTCCTTCTTGACACTCGTAACTGTGGTGAGTCAACAGCTCCTGCAATACTTGGACTGTTCTGATTTGGGGACCCAAGGGAAGATCACGATTTCCTGTATTTCTGAATTAAAATTTTCAATTTAAAAATAAGTAGAATACATTCACAGTAAAATGAACAATATGGGAGAATTTCTGGTCGAGAAAGGGTTACTCTATGGAGGGAAAGCCCGGCTGTTCACCTGGGGTGTTTACAGGAGCACACACGCACACAGGTCACACTGACATCAAGGCTGAACAGTTTAAAGTGGATGCCAGGGATCCACCTGCTCTAACACGCACCTAGAACTTCGTGTCTGACAACGGCGGTGTGAACACAGGAGACCTTTATTACGCAAACACTGCATCAGATGGACATTCAAATTTTTCAAACTGCAGGTTACATCCCATTAGTGGGTCATGAAATCAATTCAGCAGGTTACACCAGGGGTACTTTTTAACAAAACAGTAGAATACAAACTATAAGAGCATACAGAATGTAAGTGTTATTTCACGGCATTTTTGTTTAGCTTTATACTTTTACACACACACACACGTATGTACATACATATATGCTCCCAGATGTAGTACATTATGTAAAGTGTGTCAACAAACTCTGGTAACACAGATGCCCTGGGAGACGCACGGATGCCCTCTCCAGCCTTCCCATGAACAGTGGCGGTCACGCAGACGTCACTGGTTGGGCATTACCGTGGGTCAGGTGCTGACCCAAGCTCCTCTCGTGTATTTTATTTTTCTCATCCTCCTAACAAGCCTGTGAGTCGTATCATTCGCACCTACATCTTACAGGTAAGAACACAGACACACAGAGGGTAAGTAACATGAACAAAGGCATCGGCCCTGGGACTGGACCCAACAACCCGACAAGCTCGCGTGGCCTCCACCTGAACAGCCGGGTAACAGGACTCACGTCTTCTCACCCCAGCCCATCACCGCCCAGTCGTCTCCCCAAGGATCAGCCAAGCCAACTCAAGAACACGGCTTCAGATTCCAGCCCTGCACCCTCCACCACACCCCATGCCATGGTGTTCCTAGTGAAAGCTGTTCCACGAAGCTGAAATCAAACAAGTTCAAAGAAGAGGAGAGCTACGTACGACCATGTGTGAAAGAGAATGTATTTATTTACATTGCTCATTTCCTTTTTACAAATCCTACAGTTTTAAATAATAAAAATTCCTGGGAAATAGGGTCGTTTTTAAATTAAGATATTTTAACAAAGAGAATTTTCACAATGTGATTTTTATTTACATGGATTTCCAGAAGTTTTAAATAGTTTTTTTTTCAAACCGCACAGCATAACTAAAAGCTCTTATTCAGACCCTGCATCTTTCTCAAAAAATTTTTAGTTTGGGAAATTATAGTCAGAACCTTGCAGTTCAGATCCTTAGGGATGAAAGTCTTGTTCAACACACACAAACACAAACCTGCTTCATAAATGATCCACATTTTGGCTGCAAGCTGAACCTATGTGACGTGTTTTGACGGTATGCAAAGATATTTTTTAGACATCTTTGATTGCTTTGATTAGAACTTTCTAGAGGTTTTCTGTATCGGCCACGTGACTGCTTTCCAGTTCCTGTTACGTGTTCTGAGCACACATTAAATTCCTGAGGATGGATCTCTCTCCGGTTTAGCCAGCTCTGAAAGGGACTCACGGGGATTCGGAACTCCGCTGGGGCAGGATCCGGTGCACTTTCCTCACCTCTGGTCCTGTTTCAGATGCTTGCTTTCCCCGCTGCCGCACACGCGCATCACTTACTTTGAAAAGAATTGACTCTTCATAAAACGACTTTTAACAATAACAACAGCCTGACATCCTTTCACATCACACTGACAGGTTGCAAATATTTATTAGTGAAACTGTAAGAGAGGATCGATTTTCCTAACATTTTAAGCATGAGTTCCTCTGAACTGTTGGTATAACATGCAATAAAAAATAGAAAAGATTAATTTTTACCATGATCAAGCTACACTTCCCAATGAAAAACATCCGGTTCTGCCCCACTTCTCCGCAAGAACAGGCGGGTCCTGGGCGTCACGCGGCAGCGATGGAGGCGTCATCCACAAGTCGGCCCTGGGGCTTCAAGGTGGAGAAACAGAGCGAGTTCACAAGATAATCATGACAACGAAACCTCTATTAATTAAAGAGATTCTGAAGCTCTGTTTCACAAAAACAGAACAAATGTGTGCAGGTATCAAAACAAAATCTCTCCTCCTCTCCTCCCACCTTCCTTCTTCGCTGGGACCTGCCGACCTCTGTGCCCCTGCTCGGGTCACCAGTGGCGGACGTCACCAGCTGGTCACACCCTCCACCCACTGAATCCGCCTGGTCACGGCTTCTCCCTTAACCTTGTGTTCCAGCAGCCCTGCCCATCCACCACCGGGGGCTCGTGACAGTGAACTTGACCACCACCCTGCTTAAGTGTGAACTTTCACGCTTCTCTCTCACTCAGCTGTGTCCTGAGCGTTAAGTCGGCCACAGACCTGAGCTGACAGATAAGCTCCTTGGGATTCAAAGTCCCCCAACCTCCTGCTTGAGAAAAAGTGACTCATAATGAACTCTAGGGCATTATCAATGAACACCACGAGGATTGAAGCAGCAGATAGAATCTCCCTTTCACTAAGCTCGCTGACTGAAAACATTTACAACATCACAACAGAAGAGGAAAAGCTAAGAGTGAGTGAAAGGTATCTAACTGCTTTGAGGTGTAAAATTTCTGGCAGGTCAGCAACACCCCAGAGAGTCACTGAGTAGCTAGGAGAATGAATTCTCACAAATAATTTCATCATTCAGATGGACATTAGCAGATCTTGTGGGAAAAGCACGAGAGATGGTGTTTAGACATGCCATAGATCAGGGTTACAACTTCGGCACCAAAGGCTGACCACTTTGCTTTAACAGAAGGATTCCTGTGGGAGTCCCTGAGGCAGGGAAGGGCGCGATCCTGTCGTCTGGCCGCCGTGTGGTTTTCTCTACGTATGTACATCTGCATGCACGCGTGTGCTAGTGAGGCATCTGACATTCAGTGCAGGAATGCAGTGAATGCAAGAACAGGTTCCTGCTCTTTCCTACTTCATATCATTTTTAGGACTGATGGAGGATGTTCAGTTCTAGAAACAGAATAAATGGCTCAGTCAGATCAAATCCTTACCAAACCTAGCTTCACAAACAGGGGCAGGGGACAAGTATATGATGTAATTAGAAAACAAATCTATTTTCCAGAAGAAGAAAAATATTGATCCACGCTTGCTCTAGGGCAGCGCTGTCTGATACAGCTCTCAGTGAGGAAGGAAAAGCCCACGGCACTGCTACCCAGGATGGTACCCACCTATCACACTTGGCTACTGAGCACCTGAAGTGTGGCTAGTGCAACTGGTAACCAATTTTTAATTAAATTAAGTTTTAATTAATATTAATTTTAATCTCAATAGGCACGTGGGGCTCAGGGCTACCATACTGGAAAAGCACAGCTCTAAAGTTTAATAAAGGTACAATGAACAAAGTTTAACAGAGGTACAATTTTAGTGATTGTTCACCAAGTGGGAAAAGGGCAGTCCTCACTCACTGTCTTTGCTGTGACACGTAAAACAATCTTAATTATTAAGTTTCCCCCAATGATAAAGGAACTGGCTCTGAGGAATCCAATCAAAATTTTTAGCAGCACTCAAGTTACTAGAAGGTAGGTCTTAAATTTAAAAAAAGATCATGGCAGTCAGAGAAGGGTGTGTTAATTACGTTAAAACTTATGAATGTTTATTTTTCTGGAACCTTCCCTTGTGGATTTACACACTATCCAGAAGAGGCTGACTGTGAAAGAAAATCAGAAGACTGAACTGACATCAGCTCGGATTAGGTCTGGGTGTGCTGAGTGCTACCGGCAAAGAAATGCAAGAGATTAACTGATAGACCCAAAGTGCTGGCTTCGTAACATGATCAACCCGCATCTCAAGCTGTGTTTGTAAAGACAGAACAGGACCAGCTCTGCGCACTGATACGTACTTGCAGTGATTAAAGCCGTACTTTTGAGTTCAGGAACAGCAAACTTGTAAAGTCAAACAGCTAAGAGGACATCAGAGACCACCCATTCCCACTGCCCACACCAGCCATGAATTTCCCTCCAGGGTGACCTCAAACATGACAGTGAGAAGCAGCAATGGGAACATCTTTAGAGTGGGACTGGGTGGAAATGTTTAAAAAGCCACTACTGTATGGAGAGTGGAAAATCTCTGCACCTTCTTTTTGATTTTGCTGTGAATCTAAAACTGCTCTCTAAAGAAAGAAAATCTTAAAAGGAAAAATAAAACCACTATTTACACACGCAAGATCTAAAATTATGAGGTAAAAAAATTTTTTAAGTATGGTATAGAAGAGGAGTTTAAAAGGGTTAATAAAATGATTTTTTTTTGCAGATGCAAAAAAGAAAATTGTTAAGTTTGGAAAGAAAACAGGAAGATTGTGACAGATACATGAACACAGGCTAATTTATAATCTACCAAATCCCAGATTACATAAACAAGGGACAGTTCCCCAAAACCTGACAGATACAAAAAAGAAAACAGCAACTTGTCATTTCAAAAAGGGGGCATAAACTTAAAAAAAAAGACACACAGGATTCATATACATTCATGTCTATCTGGTTCCCAGGGGCAACCAGAACTATCTGGAGAAACAGCCTTAATTTAGGCATCAAGAGTAGCTTAATCAGACTGAAGCGACCATCCTACAGAGTCCTTTATACCGGAACTGCAAATCGTATCACTGTAGAAAATCAAAACATTAAAGGGTACAGTTACCAACCAGTGATCATTTTCAGAAAAGACCCAAATCCAGTAGTGTTACATAGTTAGAATCAGGAAAGTTCAGGGATTGTATTCAGAAAGTTAATCCATTTTGATTAAAAACCAGTTACAAATTAACTAACATTTAAAAACATACTTTACTAAGCCAAAGAAAAAAATATGTGTAAGAATATTATAAAGAAAAATCTTTATTCACCCAAGGGAATAAAAATCTTTGCAATTAGATCTAAAAAAAAACCTATAAAATATAAATCTAAAAAATATCTATAAAATAGCTTTATAGAAATGAACAGCAGTATTGCCAAATAAACAGGCAAAACTATCCGTTAGCCTCAAAATACTGTTTAGTGAAGTTTACGTGACAAAATATCTTCTTTTGTTGGTTTTCAAGGCAGTAAATGTGAACAGCAGGAAACTGCTCAGCCTTACCTTTACAAAGATACTGGTAGGTATAAAACGCCTCAGCAGCTGATTTGTGAAGTTAGGAAATCTAAGCAGGTTGATGTTGAGGGAGGGCAGTTGCTGGTATCCGGCCATCAGAGGATAGAAATTATATAACATTTCCTGCTCGGTGCCAGGTAGGATACGTAATCGAATCTAAATCACAGAAGTTGTAGAGAAAGATAATCAAATACACACAGCAAGTACACTTGAAGTATCCACATGGCATTACCCCTAGATTACTGACAAATGGTCAGACCCCAAACCCTTCTGGTAAAACAATCACGCCCTTTCCTGTTCCACCTTCCACCCAGATTCCGAAATGCAGGGCTGAATTGGTATTGAGGCCAGGACCACCCAGAGAACAAACGTATTAAAAACCGTGCATGATTTCTCAGTCTCCGCCAACATCTCAAAGGCAACTTACACCTGCTTCACAGTGAGAACAGGAGACGGAGCGGGATTTCCTGGGTCTTGGACCAGGCAGGTTTTACAGGCGTACGTGCTACGTGAGAATCTGCAGCACAGCGTCTTTGTAAACATTCTGTGCACAGAAGACAAACTGGCTGCTTTCTGTGTTTTGTCTTAGAGGTTTTACCTTTGTGGAAAGGCAAGTAACTTCAGGGGGAAAAAAAGATGTTTGTACTTTGGGAAAGAACACATACTGGTGAGATTTTTGGTATCTGACACTATCTAATTATTTTTAAGTCAGTATGTGAAAGAGATCAGAACAACCAAGAAAAGCTTACTAATTTACAAATGTGTACCTATGAGGACACGGTGTGGCACAGATAACACACACATGTGTGCACCAGCACATTACAGCTAATACTACATTTAGTATCTATTAATAAATTTAAATTAGTGTACGGACGTACAGCATCCTTCACACGTCATCCTGTTTGCACCTCACAGCAAGCACAGCACTCAGAACGCGCACAGCCAGGTGATGAGTCAGGTGGGTACTGCCAGGTATTACAACACGTTTGTTTCTCTAATTACATCCTTGTTACTAAAGCATTTACTGACCATCGAGGGGTTCTTGTTACCACTTGGGCAGAGGAGGACAAAATTCTCACCGAAACAGTTTTGCCTGAGAGTGAAGGTCCCACCCCCAAATCTGATGAACTTTTCTACCTCTGGTTGAATAGATGAATGAAAACACCTGGATCATTTTTATGTACGGATACAAAATTGTGTCTAAACGTAGCAGAGATAAGTGAAATCTATACAAGATCAAAATCTCTAAAAAATTTCACTGATAGAAAAGAATTGGGTTTTTAATATGTGTAATCACACCTCAAGAACTCAAATTAAAAGACACACAAACTTATCAGTAATGAAAGAGATCTAAAATTTTCAGGAAGTCTATCAGAGTCCAAGAATTTATGATCTCTTGTTTTTTAAGAAGAAAGAGCCGATATGTGTGACTTCAGTGTGAAAAGGACTGCCCATTTAATCCATGTCTATAGCAAGTTGTAATTAATCTTCAAAAGTGACCAGAAATTTACCACAATCGAAACAATCAGGACCACAGTCAGCCTTATCAATTCACTTGTGAAAACTAAACATATGGCTTTCCACTTCCTGGTCACATTTTTGCGTCTTCAGAAGCAACCCAGTGAGATACGACCGGTACCTGTTTAAGTCCTGAGAACATGAAGGCATCACTGGGCTCCACAGAAACCTCCACATCCTGAACTAAGTCTGTCTTATTCTGCAGGTGATACTTGACAGGTAACGACTCTCTGACACGCCCAAATGACGGCAGGTCTGCAGAGAAAGATGACACGTTTCTCTAGGTTAAAAAAAAAAAAAAGCCCACCATCTATGGGTTCTTTTTGTACACAGGTCTCATTCCACACACATGGGACTATTTAAATTAATGACAGCACTGCTGAGTAAGAAAGGTCTTTGTCTGACTGGACAACAGCCATGGGACGATGATATGTCAGCATGAGAAGGATCAAAGTCTCCACCTAAGATTGTTTTAACTTTCTATTTTGAAAAATGCCCAACATTTACGGAAGTAGAATATGACCAATTTTGTTCTATCTGTACACTCCTCCTCCCTTATCTGACTTAGAAAGAGTCTTAGCTATTGGGAGCTGAACTGTATTTCAGGGATAATTTTTTTAATCTATCAAAGATTTCCTTACATATCAATAATGGCTCAGGATGGAATGACAGACCTCATATGCCCCCTGACGGGAGCACAGACCATTAGCTATGAAGCATTCTTGCCAAAAACTTAAACCTGAATCTGATCAAACCTATACATCTAACTACCAATTGATAGGGACAGAGAAACACTTAAAAATGATACAATGAGATCAGCAAAATCCAGACTGTAGGAAGCACTACAGGACTCAGGACTCAGTTTCTTCAACAAATGAACATCAAGGCAGAGAGGGAGGAGGTAGAGTGGGTAGAGGAGGTGACAGAAGAGGTGGCAGTGGAATACAGGAGACGCGTGCAGATTTCAAAAGCACAGACATGCCTCAATGGCAATACAGCGACCTTAAAACACACTAAAGAACACTCAGAGTCAGCTAGGGAAATTTCAACACTGGAATCTGGTGATATTAAGGAATTATTGCTAATTTTCAAAGTCCTGACAATGGTACTGTGATTGTGTTTAAAAAATAGCCAGTAATATTAAAGATGCATATGAAATACTTACAGATAACACCTAGGATTTGCTTCAAAATAATGCGGGTAGGAGGAGTATACAGACAGAACAAGACTGGGCATAATCTACTTTTGTAAATGTTGGGCATTTTTCAAAATAGAAAGTTAAAAAAAATCTTAGCAACTAAAATATTCTCATTGGATTCTTTCAAGTAAAAATTGAGTGCCCTTACCTGCGTTCACATGGAGAGGGATATTTTCCACAATCACGTGTGGCAGAGTGATGACCGTGCTGATGGCAGGGATGTTTTCCGTGGCTGAAGTCCTACGGCAGAAGAGGGTATCTTTTAAATTCGCATTTCATGTGAGACGTTAATAAATCAAAAACAAGGAACATGGAGATTCAGCAACTGATTACGAAGGAAATACAAATTATCCATTTTCTAAAAGTTTATTAGTGGAAGTAGTTTTGTGAAGTAAGAGCTTTCATAATCTCATTTTTGTTTAGAGTATTTCCAATGAACAAATCTTATAACCCAAGGCTGTTTGGTCCCAGTGATGATGGAAGGAGTTGCATCAGAATGTAAATCGACTGTGCCCCGAAGAACACCATTTAACACGGTGTTCTGTGTAAAACGTTCTCAGTGTAAGTCGTGGTGGGATGCTTTAGACCAGGACACAAACGCCTTCCACACTGAGGACTGTCCACAGATGCTCTGGCACCAGACCCCTTGGTGTGCACGGCTGTAACTGCAGAACTAAAAATAATTTACTATCAACAGACACAGTGGCATTCCAATATTACTGAGATAAACTGAGTAACATTATGAAACTGTCAAATACTTTCACCCCGTATTACAGCTGGGAGCTGGGAGGGAACTACAGGACAGCTGGCAGCTCTCTGACTGCCAAGGACAACCCGTGGGAAGAGCCTGGACATGGACGTGGCAGAGCCAACGTGGTTACAATAGTGTCAACTATCACGGAGCACACGCTGCAGGCAAACACACCCAACCCCCACTGTTAAGAAACGTGTGTCTACGGTATTACAGTAACACGACAGAGTAATTAAGCAGTGCCTTTGAAATGCTGTTTTAATTCCTATAAACATAGGAATTAAATTAAACATCAATATGCTAAATTCAGGAGTGGGGGACAAGAAAGACAAGTTAGTTTTCCCCCCTAAATAAAATTACACATTCTTCCTCATTTTTATCTTATCCAGATTTAGGATTTATAAAATGATTGAGCCATACCAAGAAACTAACACATGAAACACCATGTATCTGCCTCCCAGTCTAAGATAACAGAGCTGAAACTTCCCTGGTACCCCTTTCTGCTGCATCCCCCACCCGCCACTCCAGAGGTAACTACTAGCCTGATCGTGGCATATATCCATCATTCCTACGTATTTCTTTATTTTTTCCAAATTATACACATAGCCCTAAGAAACAAACGTTTTACATGTTTTCCAAATCTACATATATGCAATTTGCTCCTATTCCGAACATCTGCAGTTGCTTTGTTTCACTTAATATTAATAGGCTGACAGGAGTAACTCTGGTTCCTTCTTTTTCAATGATGTATAATATTCCAATACATGAATATGCCACGATTTGTCTAATTTCCAGTGGGTGAACACTTAGTTTGTGTGTAACTTTTTACTATTATAACCAGTGCTGCTATGAACACTCTCACACATACTCCTTTTCTGTGCGTCTGAGACCTTCCTAGTACTGCAGGGTGTAGCCATCAGCTTTACCTGCTATTGCCAAGTAGACTTCCAGGGCAACTGTTCTAATTTATACTCCCCCTCTTGACAAACTTGCATCGTTAAACTTTTTTAATTTCCAAAGTAGTAAGAGTCCATTTGAATCTCCGATTACTTGTAAGGCTGCCCTTTCCTCCCTATGATTGATTACTGGTCATCTGGCTTTTTCTATTCACTACACCACCTTCCCAAGTGTTTTTCTCAACTTTCGGTGAAGAGACTTCTCTGTTTTTCTTATGATCTGAAGAAGTTCTTGATATGAATTCTAATCCTGCCAGTTTTAGATGCTGCAAATAGCTTTCCCCAGTTTGTATCTGTCTTTCTATTTTCTTCATGGTGTTTTCATGAACTGAGAAACAACTTTAAGAAATCAAATTCATGAATTTAGTGGCTCATACTTTTAGTGTCTTATTTAAAGAAATTCTTTCCTATGCCAAAGTCATAAAATGAGTCTCTTATTTTTCTACTAAAAGTAATAAAATCTTGCTTTTTAGAATTAGAACTTTAATAAACCTGGAACTAACTTCACATACAGTATTCAGGAGATATCCCATTTTTTTCCCAAGCTGATACCCAACTGTTCACCTCCAATTACAAAAGAGCTCATCCTTCCTCCACTGAGGACAAAGCTACCTCTGTAAAATGTAATTCCCCTGTGCGGACCTAGGGAACTAGTTCTAGACTCTCTCTTCTGTTCCACTGGTGTATTTACATCTCCCCAAGCCACTACCATAGTGAGAACAACGTAGCTTTACAATAAGCCTTGGAATCTAGAAGGACAAGTACCCTTGCCGAGTTGTACTTCTGAAGTATCTTGACTATTACTGACTTTTTGCCTTTCCACATAAATTTTAGAACCAAGAATGTCAAGTTCTACAAAAATCAAGACAAGCTGTTGAGATCTTGAGGGAAACTGCACCAAATCTACAGAACAATTTACAGTATTAAATCTTATCCAAATCCTATCAGAGACTGTTTTGTCTCTCTCCACTTATTTAGGTCTTCCTTTAATGTCTTAAATTTAAAAAATTTTCTCCCCAAAGGTAATGCACATCTTCTAGTAGACATATTCCTACATATCTTACCATTCTGCTGTTATGTAAATAATACCTATTTTAAAAGTACTGTGCCTAGAGGTTTCTTACTGATACACAGAAATCCAACTGACTTTTTTATATTGATTTTACATCCAGCAACTCTGCCAAAACTCTTTATAATTCTAATAATTTGTTGATTCCCCTGGGTTTTCTTTGTAAACAATCCTATTGACTGCAAATAAGGGTAATTTCTCCTAATGTTTTCAGTGGTCCTATCATCAGAATTAATTTGGCTAAAATTTCATTAGTACATAGGTCGAAAGTGTAGCAAACACAAATGAGAGTTTAATTATCCTTTTAAATCTTTTTGTGTTTTTGACAAAAGGCCAGTGACAGCACGTGACTCCTAGTCTGCTCTCCAGGCTGACGGAAGCTCTCAACTCTTAAATGACAATGACACACAATAAAAGCACTAGAACAGCACAGATAACAAAGGCTGATGTAGTTTTACCTCTTCCAGGAGATAATATAATGCCCAGTCGCTACTCCACCTTCAACATTGCCAGTAGATGGGCAGCGAAGACAAAAGCATTCGCTGGCACTCTCCCCAGTCTGTAAGACAACTACAAGAAACAGTCTTCATCATCCTTGTTCAGTGATTTCACCTATGAAAACAGAGCTCTACATCCAAGTAATATAACCAGAAAAGAATACCTTATCAATTATACGTTATTCACAGAAACCAAGGCTCAGAGATGTTATATGACTTTTTCCAGGTCACAATGTCCCTTCCCAGTGTTTTTCCTAATCTATTAATATTCCATTATAATAACAAATATGTGAGGCATCCGCAGGTCACTGACAAGTTTCTATAGCAACTAATGAAAGGGAGAAGTCTGAAGTCAGAATAACACCCTTTGGAGATTATTTTCCTTCCTCCAAATTATTTCATGTCTCCGAAAGAAACATTTCACAGTAGGGAAAAAGAAGAGAAAAATTTAGTTACCCCTTAAGGTACTCAAAATGTCATACCAGAAAACTCCGACTTTCTCTGAATAAGCCCGTATTACTGACACCGCTCAAATGGAAACACATCACATACTGCTTCATTATTGCCTAACGTGACTGCTGAGCTCCTGTGCGAGATGCTTGACGCTCTCCTCTAGCCTATTTGTTTGCAAATCTCCTAGTGACAAAATAAATGCTCATCTAAACCAAGCTTCCCCTATCTTTCTGCACCTCACAGCCTACAATGGTATGCCTTTAAATGCAAGTCAGTCGGTATCAGTGCCAAGCTAATGCCAATTTTAGTAAACCTATGAGTGAAATTTTCAAATAATGCCAACAAAATCCCTAAACATTAATTGTTTTTGTGGTTTTCCAGTGAAGAAGGCTGTGATAAATTAACAGTTACGATTATGGGTAGATATCAGACGTGAAAGTGAAAAAAGCTAGATCAATCTTTTTTTTTAGACTAATCTTTAACAAAATGAACTGTCCAACTTAATGGAAGTAATGTTTATGGACTAGGAAATGATGTAGCCCAGTAAGTAAAAAACGTATCAATTCAAATCTCTCAAGAAAGCTTTTTTAAAAAAAAATCTGAGACATTCAAATTAAACTCTCCTAAAGTCCTCCCTAATTCTAAGAAGTTAACCCAAATGATCACAATGTTTATTAACGCTTAACATTAAGGTCAAATGTATGACCTAGGCAAGCTGTTAAAAGTGTCAAACGCTAATTACGCAAATTTCATAGCACATCAGTGCTGGTGGTGTTGGAGGTGGAGGACAGAATAACGCCCCTACACACACCAAAAGATACCCACATCTTCATTCCCAGAACCTGTGTTACCTGACTCAGCAAAAAGGACATCGTAGATGTAACTGAGATAAGGATCCTAAAATAGGGGGAGTATACTAGATTATCCAGTTGGGCCCAATGTAATCACAAGGGTGATCAGGGAAAGAGGGAGGTATGAGAGAGTCTGAGATGTGACCACGGAAGCAGAGAAAGAGAAAGGTCAGAGAAAGAGTCAGGAAAATGCTGCACTGCAGGTTTCAAAGATGAAGGAAAAGCCACAAGCCACAGAACCCAAGTGGCCTCCCCTGCCTGTGAAAGGCACAGGGAAGGACTTCCCTTAAGAACCCAGAAGGACTGCAGCCCTGCCGGCACCTGGATTTCAGGGCTTCTGACCTCCAGGACTTGAAGATAATAAAGCAGTGCTGCTTTAACCTGCTGATTCTGTGATCATCTGTGACAGTAGCAGCAGGGAGCGAGTTCAGGGGAGATTCAAACTAGAGGTCACGCTCTGACTCAGCCAGTACTTGTTAACCAGCTGCTCTTGGGCTGGCCGTACAGAGATGAGGCGGTCACAGCTCCAGCTCTAAAGAGGCACACAGTTTAGTGGGGGGGGGGTACCTATGAATGAATAATTCCAGTACAGCATGCTAAGTGTCCTAATGGAAGGACGAACGGGACATCCTGGAGCAAACAGGGAAGAGCACTTAGCCCTGCTAGGAAGGGTCACAAAGTCAAAGCCTATCTGAGCCCCAAAGAGCAAACAAGAGACCAACAGGCTGAAGAAGATGCAGGAGGGACAAAAGTGATAGTATGTGCAAAACCAGACGGGGGCAGTGCTTGCTGAATGGACACCGCTTGGCTGAAGCCCAGGAAAGGGCCACGGGGGGCTGACTGTGTGGAAGAGGCCAGAAGGGGAGGCTGAGCCTGACTGGGAAAGCTCTGATGGCATAAAAGGCGCGGCCAGCGTAGTCCTTACAGACTTGAGCTCTAGCAGCAATGCGAAAGCACCAGGGGCGAGAGGGCAAAGAGGAATCAGGCAAGAAGCTGCTGCCAGCGGCCAGGCGGGGGCGGTGAGGGCGGCGGCGAGGAGAGACGTGCAGAAGGGAGGACCGGCGCCAGGCCGGACGTGGGTCCCAGGGAGCCAGCCGTGTCCTGCGGTGTCAGCGCGGGCTGCGTGTGCGCGGACTCCCCTGCCTGGGCCGGGGAGTGCGGGCCGCCTAAGGCTGCGTGGCAGGTGAAGACTTGCAGAGGAAGAAGAGGGGACGGGAGTCAAGATCTTGGAAATGAGCAACGTATCGGGGTGAGAAAGGGAGCGAGGAAAGAATGGACAGCAACCAGCTGTCCTGAGCCGTCAGGAGACCAGCACGGGGCTAAGGCGTTCACTGTAAGTGACCTCCTACACGGTACTTCACGTGCACTGTCTTCCTTAACTCTGAGAAGTGACAAGACAAGACAAAATGGACCGTCCAAGTTCACGAAGAGCCAGCGGCAGGCCCAGAGCTGGGTCCCGCGCGGTCTGACCGGGAAGCTAGGCCCGCTGCAGGCGAGCACGGCGAGGGGGCGAGGCCCAGACGCAGCAACCCCTGGCGGCGGCCTCCGCGCCGCAAGAGAAAAGCGACTTTCCAAAGCGAGGAAAACAAAACTTAGGAAGGCCTTCTGAAACAAAATGTGTCTATTATTATTACCGTCAAGAATGTGGAATATATTTTCAGCTTTTAAATAGAGAGGTGTAGGGACATGCTTGATTTCTATCTGTTATTCTTACACAAAGAGTTTGTGCTGAGATCTTGTGGAAAAAAAAAAAAACCCTCTCACCCCAGGGGGAAATGGCCCCTCCTTTGTGATGATGAGTGTCCTGATATGCACAGAAGTGAGCATGGAGCCTGCCTGTTCCTTCTGGTATCTTCTAAAGAGTCCAGTCTGCTGCTTCACAGTGAAGCACTCAATACTAGTTCTTTACTTATTGATAGACATTGAAGCGTATTTATAGGCCAGGTGCAAAAATTGTTGGGATTCTGATAACTACTCATTTCAATCTGAATGGTAGATCAACCATGGCTTGTAACACTGAAGTCAACAGAGCAAATAAAACAACTCATTCATATCTGGCTTTTGTTTGTTTTTGTTTTTGAGAGGGAGATAATTAATCTATTCTGGAGGGGAGTACTGGGGATTGAACCCAGGACCTCGTGCACGCGGAGAATGCACTCTTCCACTTGAGCTATACCCTCTCCCTGCATCTGGTTTTAAGAATACACCATGATTGTTTTCTCTCACAATATTTGCCCTTATAATCTGGTTGACCACAATTTTGCTTGCGTTGACATTCAGAGTAAGTTTATTCCCTCTAACAGCTCCAGAAACACAGAAGCCCAAAGCACTCTGAACTGGAAAAGTAATATCTTTTATACATTGTTTTAGTTGGGTGATTTAGTAAACCTACTGTCTACTTTTCTATATTTTCCAAAGTTTCCTTTATAAATATCTTTTCCCATTTCACATTATAAACAATAGTAAACATCAATTTAAAGTTAATTAGAATAAACAATCTATAAAAATCCAAATATGAAAAATTTTATTTTCAAGCATATTTTTCAGGGTAACTTTCTTTTTAAAAGAATCTGATCTTTGGGAGTGGAGGGTGGGAAGGGATAGACTGGGATTTCAAAATTGTAGAATAGATAAATAAGATTATACTGTATAGCACAGGGAAATATACACAAAATCTTACAGTAGCTCACAGAGAAAAAAATGTGACAATGAGTGTGTATATGTCCATGTATGACTGAAAAATTGTGAACACTGGAATTTGACACAACATTGTAAAATGATTATAAATCAATAAAAAATGTTTTTTAAAAAAAAAGGTCAGCAGAGAGCAGAGCATGAAATCCCATGTGTACATGGTATTCCACTTGCTAACTCCTTGGTAACCTCCTCTGTTTTTGCATGAATGTTTTCTGTGATCTAACCTTCACACACACACACACACACCTCTCCCCCTGGCTTCTGTTAGTTAAGCGGGATGATGGACATCCTCACCTTTGTCCAGCTGGGACTCCAGCTGGTCCACGGGTGTCATGGAAGGCGCGAGCCGCAGCTCGCTGGAGACGACAGTGAGGGCCCACGGCGAGGCGCTCAGCACATCTGTCATCAGCAGGAAGGGGATGTCGGCATAAACCCGCTCCAGGTGCTCAAACTGCCGCACAGAAGAGAGAGAAGGTCTGTCAGGAAGTACACTGACCCATTGTCTTCTTTCTGCTAACTTTCAAAACCTAAATGATTTCCAGTATGCTTCAGAGGAGCTTACCTTTGTAGAAACAAATTTAACTGCAACATCAAAAGGAAAGACGGTCTCTATTGTTACAGTTTCATCCTGCAAGGAAATGCAGCGGCACACTCAATGGCTTTTCTGACTCTTCACAATAGGTGAAGTTTTAAAAATACTACATAAAACACAACCAATTACTAATCAATGAACAATCCCAATTTATATATTAAGAAGCTAGAGCTTTCCCTTAGGTGATGTTTATAAAAATCTATGTAGAGAGACCGTATTTCTAATAAATGATTTATGGCTCTGTAACAGTTCACACCGCGTAGTGCTTTCTCATACATTTTTCCTCTCAGGACCTAGCAGCACCGGGCGGGACAGGCACCATCACCACCACTTTGCAGAAGAGGAACCAGAAGTTGAGGATGATTAAGTGATCGGCCTTAAGCCACAAAGCCAGTGGTATGAAGCCTAGAACCTGGGTCTTCTTTTTGTGTAAGTCCTTTACCTCACCTTAACTCAAGATGACTAAAATAATAACAGTAATACCGTGGCATGGTATTATAGACACTGTGTACGTATTATGTGATGCTCACAGTAGCTCAAGGAAACAGATGCCCTAATATTACTACCATTTTAAGATGAAGTGGTCACATGGCTAGTAGGTGACAAAGCAGAAATTGAACTAAACTGACACTGGAGCCTGGACTCTTAGCCAACCTGCTCCATCCTCCCTGCAAGAGTCTGTTCAAAAATCTTGGGCTTATTATAGCTTAAAGAAAAAACAAACAAAAAAACCATGCTGCTGGTGAGAAACCTTAAAAAAAAAAAAAAGACCTGTTGGTTAAAAACTCCACATATGATAATTCTCAAAATAGCTCTAAAAAAAATACCTTGTGACATTTGCAAATAATTTCTTTTTCTTCAATAGTTGTATTGATCAGGTAAGAAACATACACAAGGAACATTCTTGAACCCACTGTTCCACAACGAACATACAACATTTTTTCCAGCTGTAAAAAAAAAAAAAGAAAAAGCATTGTAATTACTATTACAGATATTCTCTCCTAACATACATTCTAGGATAACGTTACCATCTTGTAGTGTTTACTGTACCATCTAAATTCTTGACCACTTTTTACCGCTGTTCCTGCCACAGCCTAAGAGGGGGATCATTACTAGCCCATCCTTTTTTTTATTATCATTCTCAACTTTCCAAGGATTCTTGGTGCTTGATTTGGAAATAAAAATGGACTGAAAAATATTCCACAAAGTTACAAATTTCGTGTTTTTAGTTATTTCATCAGGCAATTAATTCTCCATATTACAACCACTTGTTCTAAAAATCTCTTGTATAAAAACTGCTTGAGACATTTTACACATTTAAATATGTGAAATGTGTATAAAACGTGCATTAGTTAAATCACTTTTTTTTAGTCTTGGGATATGCTGTTAAAATGCTCTAAAACTGTCTTAGACTCATAACATATTTAAAACTACAACCTAACTGATTTCCTCCCCAATCACAGTGGACCACGTTCACCTGTTCCCCTGGATGTAAGTCTCCAACAGGAATGTCGGTGAGTAGAGCTGGGTAGGACTCGTCACATAGCTCTGTTCCGTGAAGAGTCACATGAGTTTTCTGAGTTAAGTTGGCATCCTGTCCTAAAAGTATTAACGTGGGCATTTTAAAAAATTCAAACATTCCTCTGAACATTGAATACTTCACACAGAGCACTACATTATAACCATATTTTAAACAAACTTCCTATAGCTGATAACACTGATGTTTATTTTATGTTGGATTCACACTGATCAAATTTTAAAAAGGAATGTTTACCGGGTTTTAAACCAGCAGTGAGCTTCACGTCTCTGATGGGGGTCTTTTCGTGGGACTCAACAGTCACAAGCAAACAGTACATTTCGTTCGTCAGGGCAGGAGGGTCATGCCGCAGATGGACAGAAATGTTTGGAACTCTGGAAATGATCCTTTGGGAAAAAGGTTAGCTAAGTAACTCATTCTAAAAAGCAAAGAAAAAAAACCAAAGTACTCGAAGTATTCAAAAGTAAGCCGACCTTCTGCAATCTGCCCCCAGGCCGACTTACATGGTGCTGGCCTGGCCCACGACGCTGTCCCAGTGAACCTCTCCGGCCGCGAGCTTCGGTCTTCTTTTGAAAGAACGGGAGGCCTGCAAGGCTTCCTGGGCGGAAGCAGCGTCCCCTCCTCCTCCCTGCCAACTTAAAACCACACATCGTCCCGCCTCGTTGCCCAGAACCAGATCCACGGATGTAATCTGGAAGGAAGAGGGCTGTCAGAAACGCCACCGCAGACTGGCTCGTCACCAGCCCCTTCCAACAAATTACAAGGCAGAGTTTTGGGTGACAGCGCCCCTCGGACCCACAGTGGGACAGCAGTCAGGACACCGACTAGCTGTGACATTGGCTAGCAGCATGTGCGGTCTCCACTATTTCGTTTTTAAATCCAACTTTCTAGCTCAGACGCGGACTGTATGGTATTGTTATCTTAGCACCTGGCGCAAGGCCCCAAGCAGCAAACGGTCAATGAGTGGTTGCTGAGTGAAATAAATGAATGTTTTGATAACCACGAACATACTCATCACCTAATTCCTGACTCTACACATCTTTTTCCTGAACACACCTACAGTATTAGCAATGAAGTTCTTTACTAATTGCATAAATGTTCTTTCAACTGCATCCATTAACAAATATACTCAAAACAGCATAATTATGATTTATGTGTGGCAGGCTTCCTTAGGTACCTTGTGAAATATAAAACAAGTAATTAGGGATTTGGTCAAAATCATGAAGAATTTTAAAAAATGAATAAGCAAAACTTCTGGATATTGGTTAATAATAAATAAATATAATAAAATCAACAGATTCACAAAAATTGTTATGGGAATACTGGGACTACAGTCTTCAGTTTCTGACTTAGAAATGGTCCCAAATTCACATTAGCCAACCATTCCCATTCAAGCCATGGGAAAGAAGCACTTAATGAGAGCTTACCTGGTCCTGATAGCTACTCCAAGCAATTTACACTGATTCGATTCTCGTGAAACACTAAGGAGTAGGTACTGTCATTATCCCCATTTTATAGATGAATACACTGAGATGCTAAGAGGTCAAGCAACTGCCCAGGGCCACAAGCTAGTAAGCTGGAGAGCTGGAACTGAAATCCACATACTTTGGCCCCAGAGTAAAATATTACTTTCATCTCATATTTCTGAAGGACATTTTAGTTATCTACATTAAATGAATCCTTTAAAATATGTATCTTCATTTTTTCTTAAAAATATGCAATCAGCAACATATAAACAAAATGACATAGCTCTTTAATCTGAATTATGTCATATTATACAAAATATAATTGCTACGATACAGAATACATTTTTCTTCTATATACCTTTTTCCATATACATGTATATTCCTTATACATATAAATTTCCAGCTTGAAACTCCTTAACTGATTATGCAGTCTTTAAAAACTGAGGTTGGTCTCATGTACTAAGAGGAAATGATGTCTAATACAACACTATTAAGTGAAAAAAGCCAACTGCTAAATATTACATATAGTATATTCTTGATGAAGGGAAACCTACAAAAAGCCATAATGAATGGTTTTCCTTGGGAAGTCAAGTGGAAGATCTTAATTTTTTACCTAATAAGCTTTTGTATTATTTAAGTTTTCTTCTGATATATAATTACTTTTATCATTTAAAATATTTGTTAAACAAAATTCGTAACTAACCTCAATCTTCTTTCCCACATCTTCAGTTTTTGCAACAAATTTAAACAAAAACTTCCTTGTTTTACCAGGAACTAAGCACATCTTTCCCTGAGTCAAATTTTCTAAAACTTCACTTGCTTTGGATGCTTCTTCGATTACACAGAACTGGTTGTATTCCTGAAAAAGAGGTTAGCAAGGGTCATGGTTTATGAGCTCAAATGTCACATGTTTTGCTAACTCTAAACACCAAATTATTTGGAGATTATTAAGTTAAAGTGCACTAAACTGAAGCAGTGTGAAGGGTTATTTATTTTAAAGAAAGCATTTTTATGCCAAATGGTGGCCCTCATCCACTCACTCCTGCCACAAGACAAAGACAGTTCACCACACACAAGTCGACTTCTGAAACGTTTGGACACCCTCCTCCTGGAGAGAGAAACAAAGACATATTCTTTGTTGCACTGGACACTTCTATCACCTTTTCTTAAAGAGCTTTTCTTTTTACTTGGCTTCCATGATGCTGTATCTCCTGTTTCTCACCCTCTCTGGCATCTTCAGTTTTTCCCTCAAAGGTCTCTCTTCCTTCTTCTTGTCCCCCAAATTCAGAGGTTCCGCAAGTCTCAGTCCTTGGCTTTTGGTTCTGCTTTTCTCTTCTGTTCATTTCACTGCAAAGTTTCACCACCTCTGCATATTTTGCATCTCTGCGCTAGTATTTCCCACATAAAAACGTCTAATTCTGACCTCTTTCCTTAGCTAAAAGCTCATCTTCACAGTCGTCTATGGAGTAGTAATTCCACTATTACTCCAAATTCAACATGTTCTGAACTGAATGTGTGGCCACCTTCCCAGAAAAGCATACTCCTCACAGATACGGGGACATCTTTCGTGCATGCATCTACAGAATCACCATCCTCATCCACTCAATAAAGATCAAGAACTTTTCAAGAGCCATCTTCTCTCCCAGCAGATGAATTACCTTCATAGAAGATTCTCACATAGTTAAAGTTTGTACTTTCCTTCTAACTTTCATGTCTGCTCCTGGCTTATGAAGCCTATGTACCCACTAACTTTTTTCTTGTGATTTGTATCTTAAATTTCAAATAACATATATTCAGAATATAACTTCAAAAATAAACTGCTTTCCTTTTTAATATTTTTATTAATCTAATTATAACATGGTCTACGTTGTTAAAAGGAAAAAAGAAAGAGAAAGAAATGGAATAAGAGACTATAACAGGAAAAGAAAGGTAACAGGCTCTATACTGACCCTCTAATTTCAGATTTAGACTATTTCAGAGTGAGCAAACATAAAAATCATCTGTCCTCTTGCAGCTTACATTTTAGTAAAAACAAGTAACGTACCAAATAATCACAGGACAAAAGTTTAACCGCGGCTGTGACAAGTACTAGGAAGGGTTATGTGAGCCTGGCTGGGCCCATCGGTCATGTAAGTCAGGGGAGGTGTCCCCGAGGAAGTGAGCTCTTAAGGGTATAAAACAGGAGGAGGAATTAAGTAAATGAAAGAGGAGGCAAGACCAATCCAAGCAGAGGAAACAGAACGTACAAAACCACTGAGCTATACCCTGCCCCCATCATTTTTGAATAGACTTTATCAAAGTCCATTTGTTAACACAAAACCATTAAGATCTAAATTTCACTGAGCTCATTTTACCTAACATAACTCAAGTGACAGTAAGATACACACATGGTAAAAACACATTGAAAAGTACCACTACCTGATTATTAAAGCTGACACAGAGCTTAGAAAACCGAATGGGATGTGGACAATCAGCCTTTAGATAAATATCAAACTGCACGGGAACATCCACATGAAAACTGGGGGCGTGGAACTTGGCTTTGCATTGCACTAGAAATGAAACAGAAAGGGCTGTCAGACACTCCCCGACCCCCCAGAGCCACACACAGTGTTCTCTGATCCACATGTGCTCTTCAGAAAGGAGTCAGCTACACTCCATATTCTTACTGGCTTCCGCACTTGAAACATTTCAACAGACATAAATGTGGCTCACTTTTCAAAAAACAAATTTAAATAAACTCTAGCTCCAAAACCTCTTTAATTTTAAAAACATGGTTGCACCTGAAACGTAACTGACATAGGATTTTAAAGAGAACCATTTTGTTATTTTTAACTTAGTTCAAGATACCTGCCCAGACATTAAAGCATAAACCTTTTAAATAACTGCCTTTTCAAATGAGTTTCAAATAGCATCTTAACTACAAATGAACAAAGTAAATTTTAAGAACTAAACTAAGAACTTAAAATTTTAATCAACTTTGTAAGTCAATAGGGAGAAAGTTTAAAAAAAAATCAGTTCACCTATAAAATGACTGTACTCTGAAAAATTCCTTGACTTACATTTACTACTCCTCATCTATTCATTTTGTAGAAATAAGAACAATTTCTCTGAAATAATACTGTAGAAGCTGGTTACCCACCAAATGGCACGAAGTCCTGGACTCCTATCGTGAAAACATTGCTGCCAGCCAGGGAAATTCGGTCTGCCCACAGCTTCTGGGCAGTTTTCACAGCTAAGATATCACAGTCAGGTTCAGGGTCAGGACTTTCATTCTGCACCAACATAGGATTCAACATCTGTTCAGTTAGTTATAAAAATATATATATACACACAGATTTTATACAAAGAATCCCAACCTACCATTAAAACATTTATGAGGTTCTTTTCTATCCGAGATTTCTGGTCATCTTTCAGAGTTGAAGCTAATGTGAAGGAAGAAGGGAAAAACTGAGAACGTAAGTCAGGCAAGACTGCTACCCCCACTTCAGTTGTAAAAATACTGAGGAATAAAGATGTCTTCCAGGGTGGCTGAGCAGAATTCCGGAAAACTGCCAGCACAGCTTTCTAAAAGTTACCCCCAGCACTGCATATATGTGCACTTGAACTCTATGTGAAAAACTGTTCTAAGCCACTTTCAAGAGGGCAGAAGAAATCCTTTCTTCTCAACTACAGTTAGACCCTCATATAAGTTTCATGAAAGTATAAACCCCTTCACTCCGCAAAGCGGCCCACACATAACAAAAGTACTACCAGATATTTGAGACTGAATCAGTCTCCCAATTTTAAGAAGCTTAAAGATGTTAAATTATGTAAAGATGATTCAGAATTTTACTGAAAGAATCTCAAGTTACCTCTTCCAAGGAGTTCTAGGGAATAAGTAATGTAATCTTTCAGTTGGGCCATGAGGTAGGAACACTTCAGAGCGGTGGTCAGTATGGATGTGAGGAGGGTCCACCAGCCTTCGCTCCGGTAATCACACATCACATAGTCCAGCAACCTAACAGGAGACAAGCCACAGACACGCTGAGTCCTCGTCACGGCTAAGGGTTTGAAGAGTTCTTGGAGAGACCAAAATAAAGTGCTTGACTCATTTTACACAAACTTCAGAACATGGTACTGATATAGTTTAACAGGTATTTTCACATTAGGTAACTGTGAGGTTTCCTCAGACTTTGAAAATGATTGAACCAGCAGACAGTACTTGAAAAAAAAAAATCACGTAAATGGAGTTTAACAGGAGTAGAAATAAATACAGAAATAATAAACCTTTCAATACAAATTTCCATTCTAATTTTGCTGGAAAGGAATCAGAAAACTTGTGAAAATAAGTAGTGAACAGGACTCACTTCAAAGCTTTGGTGTAATCCTTCGCATAGTAATATTCCTCTCCCATCTGAACCACTGTAAAGGAGAAAAGATTTTACGTACGGAGTTTAAAATGACTCACAGCTACACGAAATTGTGGCACGTTACAGATACGTACTCAGGTGACTTTTCATTCTTGGACATTTGTATTTCTTAAATTGTGCAACAGCATTGCTCAGAAGAGTTATTATTATTTCCTGTTTGAAAAGATAAAGGGTGAAACATTTCAATAAAAGTAGTCTCATGTCTTCCTTGAATCCTGTAAAAAAGCTGATATTGGAAAAAAGCTTACAGAGTGGACAACGCTTCTCTCCTTCAGCTGAACAGCAAGAATCCCCGCCTTCTCTTTCTCAGGATCAGAAAGATCAAAGCCTGCGTAACAGAGGACACAGCCCATTTCAGACAGCTCACTGAACATAAATCCTTCACGTGGACATCGGATGTGTACACTCCTTGAATCCTTTAATATAATGTACTGAAGATTCTTCAACATTCTAGAATTTCAACGATCCTAAGAGACAGATTGGTCAGCATGGAGACGGCTCTGTGATCTGGGTTCTAAGGGGAATGTCACTGAGCTCAGTGCCCGGGTGGAATCAACCACCTCAAGAATAATGTCAGTACTACTCTCCGGACAGAATACGTTTCCTGTAGCTTCAAGTAAGTAATTTCTTAACACGTGAGGTTCAATGGCCAGAGACACTGCTCAAATTAAGTACGTACAAAACACAAAGAAGATGCAGAGAAATTATTTTTAAGGTCATACAAGTAATGATGTTTTAAAATATCGAACATAAAAAATCATTAAAGTTAACTGGAATTCAAATATGTAAACAGACAGCAGTGGCTTACTTACATTACATCTGTTTAAGACAACAGATGTCCAAGTGTTCTGATCAGACCCACATCTTTAATTATGTTATTCTAAGATGTAGTGATACAAAGAAAACATTCTAGAAAGTGAAGAACTGACACTTAAACTCTTTTAAAAATGTTTTAAAAGCACGTATTTTTACTTCAACATGATTTGTTATGCCTAATGCAGCCAATGGAAGAAGCATGATAGCAATCTTTTGCCTTCTGAAGTTGAGAGAAAGAGGAGGAAAAAATTATTTACTTAGGATTCCTTGTCGCCATGATCGCTGTCCATAGAAGTCAAGAACGCCTGTCTGTGTTTCTAAGGGGTCCGGACTGGGATACGTTACAGAAGGCTGCAAGTGAAAACACAACCCTGAGTTAGCGTTTACACAACTCCGCCCAAGCCAGCTCTCCCTCCCTCTTTGTTAGAATGAAAAAGCCTTGATACATACAAATACCAAACCCACGGTCGAGTAGCAAGGTTGCGACTATCTTAACGTAAATTAAATTTCCACAAAACCAAACTAAAAATCTTTCATCTAATACTAGGTAGTCTCATAAAAATTAAACTAAATAAATCAACCTGATTCAGACAAATGATTTCACACTACTTAACCTCTTTACATTTTCTTTTAAACTATAAACCAGTAAAAATATGCTACAAGTTACGCTTGATGGTTATTCCATATGCATAAGTGCTTTACAAGCAAATGAAAATAGTATTATAAGGGGTTTTAAAAAGAAGATACTATTTTCCTTCTTTATCACTTGTGTATTACATTTTGGTATTGATGGGGGAGGGGTATTTTTGGCACCAGAATTTACAAATTTACACTGCTTTACTTTTCTTTTTTATAACTTTTTCCCTCTGAAACCAAAATGTAATACAAGTAATTGCTGAAAAATGCAGAAAACTTCCAAAAGTAAAAGAATAAACATTTAAATTACCTATAGACCACTGTTAACAATGCATACTTCATGTTTTGTATGCAAACATTTATTATCTACTGAAATAATTTTTCAACCTGCTTTCATTTAAATACATTCTGTACATCTCACCATATCATGAAGTATTCCTCCAAAACATTTTTCATGGTTGCCTGTTGTTCCACATTTTAACAGATTCCCTGTAAGTTGTTCATGTTGTTTTTATTTTACATTGCAATCAATAAATCTGTCAGAACAACTTTATACATAAATCTTAACACTGTCTCTCAGGATTTCTTGTCTGCTTTAGGCTTCCTGAATGTGAAATTCTGGGTCCAAAGATGGGCGTGCTTTGAGGCTTCTCAAATTTTATTTGACAGAAATATTATTTTACATTCCAGACAACATTTGTTAATGCACGTTACCTCGTATCCTTTTCAAGACCTACTTTTAACCACCTTTTAAAATACTTTGCTCAAATTACAATATGCCCAACTTTTAAAATATAAAACATGCAATGAAGTTATACACCACATACAAATAAAATGGTAGAAAATAGTCTAGTTATAGTATGGTTTGAGCGAAATTAAAATATAATACATGCAATGAAGTTATACACCATATACAAATAGCATGGTAGAAAACAGTCTAGGGGGGAAAAAATCCAAACACTTAAAGTACTAATATGCAAACTGCTTTTTCGAACAGTTTAAGCAGTACTGTTGTTAATATTCACCTATCTTCAGAGAAGAAATCTGAGGTTTTAAGTGAAAAGAAACTGATACAAGTCTGAATGCAAATGTCTCTGTCTATACACACACACACACACACACACCACGTTCTTAATTTAAAGGTATTTTTGGGGAAACCGGTATCTAAATATAATTATTCAAGAGAAAGGCAAAATGAAACATCAAGTTTAAGAAACGACGCGAGTAACATGATGCTTCAGATCGGTTCTTCAGAGTTTCCCAGAGGAAAACCCCAGGAAGAGAAGAAGTCAAAGTCAGCCTCTCCTGTGGGTCAAAATAAAGCAGTGAGCACAGACAACGAATGGGTTTACAGCGTGGCATGGAATAAACGGTGGCTTTCATTTTACAGCAGTTTTCTCTCATCTAAATCACTAACTTATTGCCAATCATAAACCAGTTCGTCAGAGAAAAACTTCCTAATTCACAGGTGGAAGTTAGAGTACTCAGGCTGAAACTGAAAACAACCCTAATACCTGAAAAGATGAAAGATAAAAACACATTATGTGCAAAGGCTTGGAATAAAAATTACCAACACCAATCAGTCTTACCTTCCTTCCAGAGAAGATTAATAAGGTCCCTAAACGCCAGATAACACAGGGGTCGGCGACTCACCTCGTGGTGACAGAGGGCTTTTGCGAGCTGCTTCCGCTCCTGGGCGTAGTACGCTGCTTGCTGGTAATAGAAACCAGGATTCTGTGTTTGAATAGCTGTCAACCCCAACTTAATAGCTTCATCAAATAAATCTCCAAAGGCCTGGAATCTTAAAAAAAAAAAATCAAGAAATTTTAAAAAATAATAAAAAAGAAAAAGGAAAGAAAAACCAGCTCACTTCTAATAGTGATTCATCCTGGAACCAAAAACCTCAGCAGATGGCGTCAAAATAACACTACTGATGAACTGTGAACTGTGGGGGTCTCTTTGTCTAGACTAATACACACTCACTGTAGGTTACAGAAAAATTCTCCATTTAAGAAGTCAACTCTTCTGTGCTAGTAAGTCTTCATAAATATACCATCAAACCAGAGGTCAACATGGGTCCCACCACTCAAATACAGCCTTGTTTCTGGAAAAATTTTCATTTTAGCAATTTTTAATCATCAGTCTCAGCAATCAGCAGGGATGTTGTCTTATTCACTGCTAGACCCTTAGTATCTGGACATACGGTGGAAACTTAATAAATACGTGTTGAATGAAAGATATGGTACCATGAATTAGCTGATTTCCATCAAGGAACTATATGAATCAGTATCTACCATTACTTATGCTAGATTATTAAAAACCTACTTACTGACAAAAATCTGGCTTCAATTTAGAACCAAAGTTTATGCTGAGTCCATCCCTCCGAGTCCCATTTGTTTAAAAAACATTCTGCAAGTACAATTTAAAACATACTGCTTAGACATCCATGCCGCGTGCTCAAAAGACAGCTCCGCGCTTCCGATCTTCTTCTTACACAGGTCGATGTGCTTTCGGAACTGAGCGATCGCGTCCAACGGGGTGTTGTGCTGGAAACACAGCCTACAGATCTGCAAAATGTCACATTGACCCCAAAGTAAAGGAGGAAATCAAAATCAAAAGGCATATGCATTTCAAATATGTAAAATTTGAGACTAACTTTGGGATTCCCTTCTCTGAAGTTCAGCAGAACTGCAGTGCAATAATACGACCGGGTTCCTCTGTTAGAAAGGTCCTGCTGAAAGCAGAGGCTACGTCCCCTAGGGAAATTTTATTTCATTTATCTGTTTGTAATTAATCTACTCTATACCTTCAAAATATTTTCAAAAGTGTAGAATAGAATAGAGAAATATTAAACCCAATGAAGAACATAAAGATGGGCAAAAATAAAACATCTCCAACAGGAAGCTGAGAAAGGACAGGTTAACTTTCAGTTTTAGAACTGTTGGCACAACTAGAGCACAGGAGACTCCATACCAAACAAGGATTACAGAAATTCTTGAACAACTTTTCTCTGGGATGCTATTTCAAAGTAAGAATCTATACGGGGGGTAAAATGAAAATAAGAAACAAAGCCTAAGGGTATTTCCCTATGCTTATTACCAGTTTTAATATTTTTGTATGTGTAAAGGAATACATGAAAAGTTAAGTCTCTCATCCATCCAGTTTCCAATCTTTTCCTGTCACAAGACGTGATAAGCATCCTCGGACACGTGCTGTGCACATCTTAGCACGTAGGTGGGATACACTTCCCAAAGTGGCATTGTTGGGTCAAAGGGAACGTCCACTTTCAATCTGTACAGTCATTGCAAAAACAGTCTTGGCAGAAGCTGTAGCAATTTACGCTTACACACGCAATGAATAAAGTATCCATCTGCGCTCACATCACCAACCCAGCGCCAGCCTCCTTAAAAGATGAGTGTAGAAAGATTAAAAGCAAAACAGACAGCCTCTCTTGCCTTCTGGGGCATCCATTTCTACCATATACAATCTTAAAATGCTCACATAGCCTATAGAAGTTTCCTCTAAGGTGAGGAGGTACATCTTGTCTGCGGCTGTGCCATTAAACCAAGGAGGGCTTAACACAGTTCTAACTGGTTGCATCTTTTAAAATTCAATACTATACGCAGCTTTTTTCTCACTCCCTCCTGCTCCCACTTAAAAACAAAAAAATACCCTCCTCAAGGAGTTTCACAAAAGTACAACTGCTCAGAATGAGAACTCTGGGACCCCTCGCCCGAAACCAAGCACACGAGTAGGCTGCTAAGAACCAGGGTGCTCCTTGAGATAAAGGACATAAAAGAGCAGAGCACAATTAATCAAATACTCACTTCTCAACACAGATGACTAATTTGAATTTTTAATTTTAAAAAAACAATCTAATATTTAAAGCTAAATTTTCTTCATTTGGAAGTATAACTATTACCTTGTAGTTTATAAATCCTGCCATGGTCTTAATTTCCAGAATATTAGTTTCATGGGCTCTCAATTCATGTACAAGGTTATAGGCGGTCCTGTAATTCCTAATATAAACATGGGGAAGGCAGATTAATTTTAAGAAAAGATTCCTAAGAGCAAAATTGTTAGAAATAACAGAGATAATATTTACTCAACATTTCTTAGCACTCAACAGCTCAATAACACACACATATCAATCTCTGACTTCCCGAAAAATGATAAATTGATTCATTATACGTGGGAGGAATCAATGACTTCTCAGTAAAGACCAAACCATCGAACCCTGTTCTGTCATTAACATCTGTCTACAACTAATCGGAAATAAGTGGAAAAATAAAAGTGAAGTGGAAAACTGTTCAAAGTTACATCAAAAAATCAGCATTCTGAAAAAAAAAATCAGGATTCTGTTAGAAAAAAAGTATTTTTTAAAACCATCATTACAACTTTCTTAAAGAGAAACTGTATTAGCAAAGAAGGTGCTATCAAGACAGACAGGTCAAAAGCTTTACACTCAAGTAGCTCTACAAGTCGAGTGGGCACCCCTGGCCTCGGGGGGACGGGCTGGAGTGGGGGACGCCCTCAGGGCGGGTAGTGCTGACGGAGACAGCCTGTGGGAAAGAAGCACCTGGAGATGGAAGGTAACCAGAAGAATCTCAGGCTTCTCCACAGAAAACTGTTTGCTCCTAACTTCTCCAGGTAACATTTTTCTTTCCAGAACTGGTTTCGAACAGAATTGGAATTGAGGGTGTTTAACTAATACTAAGGACAAAAAATGAACTACGTGAAAACCAGCTATACCTGTAGGAGTTCACCGAGATTTAAAGAACACAGCTTGGTGCTTAGCACCTCATTAGTAACAAGAAAGAGGAGGTTTCTGCAATATTTCTTTGAATGACAGATTTATTTATTTCTGTCCACTCCCTGCCCCCGTATACTTAGCCTCTCCTCAATTTTGGGATATATAGCTGGTTTTGATCCCTTTGCTACGCTGCCACTGTCAATCTTAAAAAAACTGAGTTAAAGCTAGGGCGAGATGTTTTATTGAATTGTCCTTCATAAAATACAAAAGCAAAGGAATAAAATGTTTAACCACTGCCAACACACCTGCAACTACCCTTCAAAGCACTAAGCAGAGCCTTTGAATGAAAAGTGATGTGAGTGGCAGGCATCGTAAACTAAAAAAAATTAAAATAAAAATAAAATCATAGTTGAATAAATGTACTATACACCTTAAGAAATTAGCCTGATTCAGCTAATGTTTAATATACATTAAACCTTGAAAACTGGTCTTAACACAAGGATTTTACTGAATACACAAATAAGAAGTGGGCAGCAGAATGAGAAGAATTTTAGTATTACATGTCTTTAGATCATGAAATTTAATTAAATTAGACCAGAAAGCTTTCTGACACTATAAAATTTACTTCTGATAATAATGGATATATTTTTTAAAAAATACTATGTATTGTATCTCTAGACAAATTAAAGTGAATATTATAATATTAGAAACCTGAATCTAACCAACATAAACATTTTAAAATTAAAGTTTGGCTGAGATTCAGAAATTGCCATTAACATGCTATTGAAAAATTTAGTTTGACAGCCGTTAGAAACTTACTTCAGAGCATTCTGGGTATCTTGTTTCAACTCACTGAAGAAAGCTATTTTGAACTGATGTCGAACAAATAAAAGCTGAAGAAAAGAATGAGAAAAAAATACCATTACTACAAGCATTCTCTTAAAAGGATAAAAATTATAATACTGTTTATTAAGAGGAGACCTAAAAGTATGAAGGAAAATATTCAAAGTTAAAGTTCAAGAATTATTCCAATAAACAAATATAGTTAAGAAGGCCATAAAAATCTATCTTTAAGAGTTTTAAGGGCAAAGAGCATAAAAGACATTTGTTTTTAAAAGCCTTTTTAAAGAACTTCAAAAGTACAGAAACCATTTTAAAAAAAATCAAAGTATTAAAGACATTTGATAATCCCCTGAAAAATAATCAGTGATGAATAATCTGTTCTAGAATGCTGCTATTATTTCCTTCTTTAGGAAAAGACATGTACCTGGTGCGTGGTTTTATTCAAAAATTCTTTATGAGATTTCACTCGTCTGATCTCAGTGTAGTAATACGTCTGTGCATGTTCATAAAAGGCATTTTCTAATCTGTTAAAAAAAAAACCCAACATTCAAACACTGAAGTTATTTTAAACCGAACTGTTTTCAAGAATCGTATTTGTAAGAACTGAAAGTAAAATCCTGACACAGATAATGTCTGGTTTACTTCATGATTAAGATAAAAAGGGAGGCATAATATAAACTGAATTTTTAGATTAAAAAATACCTACAAATAAGACAACTTCCCCACTTAAAATTATCTAGTCCAAGAAATAACTGATAAAAATAATTTTATTTTTATAATCTGTAAGATTACCCCCACCCCTACTATTTTATAATTTTATTAAGAAGTGTGAAAGAAAACAGATATCCAATACTTAATTAGATCTGACAATTTTTTGTGACTAATATTTAGAGTTTAAAGAATAAGAAAACTAAAGGGAAAAGGACCAAAACTAAGAACAGGCAAATGAGGTGAAAATAACATTTGTATAAATTAAATCCTGCTTCACTCCATAATTATGAGATGACAGATGAACCAAGAAAATTGAACGAGCAGTAGGTAAATAACTCAAAGTTCTGTTTGTGAAAAGAAGTTCATATCAGAAGTACCTTCCTAGGGCACGAAAGAAAGCTGAATTCATGGTCAGTGGAGTAAGAGAGAGCCCAGCAGAGCCAGAAGACAGGAGCTAGCAGGAAGCATACTGACAAGGAACGGCAGTGTGACTGGGGAAGTCCCCAAGTGCAAAGGACAAGCAGGAAATGTCAAAAGCCCAGAGAGGCAGTCCAGGGCCAGCCAGGAGGCCGGGATGAGCCACCGCGGAAGACGGGCACCTGCGGGGTTACCAGTCACCCAGATGTCGTCCCAGCCCCCCCGGGGCTCTCTGTGGGTCATGTGCTCAAACTGAAAAAACAAAGCTCATTATTCTTTTCCTCTGCGTTCTGGGCCATCATCTCTATTCTTAGTGGCTACTGGTGTGACTTTATCCGGGGTCACAGCTACCGATCATTGCTTTTCCACGAACTGCATGTAAGGGGTCCTGCAGGTCATCTTCCCACTGGACCCTGCTGCTATCCCACGCCCCCTCCTCCCGAACAGATACTTCTTTCTCAGCAGCCAGGTCACTTTCACACCAAAGAGAAAGCCATGTGCCTTCCAGGAGCAGATCATTGGCAGAAGCCTGCTTCTGAGACACAGGAACAAAGGCAAGAGAGGCAATAACTAAAGACAGACTACACTGTTCTTGAGTTTAAGGACGTTTACGCAGAATAAAAAGGGAAACCATTTTATAATTAAAATCAATGAAAATATTCATATCAAAATACATCCTAGTCAGAAACTGAAAACCATAAAACCTCTCCCCTACCACACTGAATGCTAGAAAATAATGGGTAACAGTCACATAATTTGTGAGACAATGCTGTGTCCCCAGGTAACATGCCTGCTATATACCAAGGCTTTATAATGCTATTTAAGATACAGTGGAGCTCAGATTCTTCTTACAAATTGTTTAAGAATATACATCAACATATCAAAAATGAAGCAAAACAACAAGCCAGAAATGAAGACACTGTCATATAAAAGGACACACAGTATTTACGGAAAAGTACAATGTAAAAACATGCAAATATTTTAAATGAAGGTGAGCTAGATCTACACGTGGTGTCAACGAGGTAACACCACGTGGTAGCTCAGTGTGTATTATATGATTACATTTACGTATGTGTGTATTATAAAGATTATGTATCATTTGTTCTTACATAAAAAAACATATTTCGAAAGGAAACTTAAGGAACTGTTACCTCAAGGAATTGGAGAAGGTTAAAGAAATGATGAAGACGACTTTATATTCACCTTATATCCTTTGTATCCTTTGAACTTTTCCCCATTGAACATGAATTTCTTTTTAAATAAATGGGTCTAAGCTCCCAATATCTCAATGCCTAATGAACAATCTAAAGAAAAAAAAACGTTAAGGACCTTTATTTACCTTATAATATAACCCACCAGGTGGTCCGTGTGGGGCAGCACGAATAAAGACTTGCCTGAGAGTTCACACGCATTACACAAAGCTGCAGCCCTTTCTGAAGCAATCACATCCTCCCCTGTTGACAAGTTCCACAAAGATAAAAGAGAGAAATAAAATAATTAATGTATTTTTCTAAATGAATATTTTCCCAAATCAGAACAATGCAATTAAGAAAAGACCAAAACCACTTTTCACCATGTCTGTGGACCCCTGGGGCCCTTGAGAGCCCTGTGGGTGCTCAGAAGTTACTCCGTGCATATCTGTCTGGAGAACACCATGGAATTTTCTACTCAGCCAAGTCAGACAGCCCAAGTAATGCCAACAGACTCTCCACATAATCGTTTCAAAAACTGTAACTAAAAATGGAAGCAACAATTCATGAAAGTGGTCTCCAAAACTATTTAAGATGCTGTAAGTTTCCACATAGAAACAAAAAAATCATTTGGCCTCTCAAAGTCTGAGATAGTAGAAGAAATAAGCATTTGAAACAAAGACATTTTCTTACAGGAAACTAAAAATCCTAGTGTGACTCTTTGCCCTATTGCAAAGTTAAGAAAAAATATTACGTAAGGAATACAATTTCAAATAAATCTCAGATAAGTAAAAAATCTTTTTTAAAAATCAAGTGATTTGACACAACATCGTAAAATTATTATAAATCAATAAAAAATTTTTAAAAATATCAAGTGAATAACCATTTTGTCAAGTGACATGCGCCCGCGGGGGGAGGTAAGTAGAACTAGGGGAATAGAACTCAAGAAGCTCTGCACTCTTTATAATGTTTTTAATTTTTTATAATAAGCATTTAATTATGTGTTACTGGTACTTTTTAATGTTAACACTCTCTCTTTCCCATAACTGAATGCATAAAGCATTTTAACTTTAAAACCTAGGCCTCTCGGTACTAAGAACTAGAGTTATAAACCAATCAATTAGTTATTAATTAACTACCTGGGGGCAAAGGGGTTTTTTTCTGTATCAGTACCACTGCAACTTTTGTGTTTCTCCCTTGTAAACTCTGCCTGCAGGGGAAAAATAACAATAAAATTAATTAAATTGTTTCAAATTTTTAAAATGTATTCAAGATTTTACATAAAGCACAAGCTTGATAATTCAAAGAAAGAAAGACAAATTTCAACTAAAAAATCCCCAAACTTAGGGGAACTTTTTTGCCACATACAAAGAAGCATAGGTGCCACAATGACTTAAATTTTTAAAATATAATCTCACATCAAGCTTCAATTCCTTATAAAAACCGGCTTTAAAAGCAAAAAGTTTAACATACACTTTAATAAACTACAATTTAATTTCTTTATAATGACACATTACAGAGTAGTCAGCCAAAAGAATTATTTTGAAACAAATGGTGATAAAGCAGAAAGTGTTTTATGAGACTAAATAGCAAATTGCTATGTCTTCCAAAAAAAAAAAAATCCTATATATGCAAGAAAAAGCATTTGGAAATTCAGGCCAACCTGTCTTCTAAATTTCCTCACATTGCTCAGCATTATTAAGTTAATATTCATGCTACCTGTTAGAAAGAGAGCAGGTTTCACCAGAGGTCTGTGATCCCCCAACGACCGCTGTGGCCTGACCAGCACTCAGCTGCCCTCACTGACGGTCAGGGGTCAGTAAACTCCAGACGTGAGGGACCCGACGCGGTCCACCTGACAAACGGGGCCATACCTGACGATCTCCACTCTGGTCGCGCACTCGGACTGCTTTTCTTTCCACTGGGGCTCGTCCCAGTCCAGCTCGTAGAACACAACCACCAGGGCTGGCACCAGATTCAGATGTTTATTCATCCAGCCCGTCTTCAAGATCCCTTTGGGGATGTACCACTCGTACGAAGTTCTCTGCAAACGTTGGCAGAAGATGAAGAGATACTTGATCACAAGAGCACAGGCGCTTTCTTTGTGTTTAGCTCATTCAGCAAACACACGCCAGCTTTTTGAGATGTGGATACCGAGGCTCACAGAGATCAGGCAAGAGCTAGCGAGTATTGGAGGCAGAATCTCAACCTTAGAGCCGGTACCATTTCCATTTACAGAATGACCAAAGCCAAAGCGTATCTAACGATGTCAAGGCTTTCAAATACCTGGAAGTAAACAGTCGCTTTCCCGGGATTCTACTTATAAATTCTACTTATATTCCTCATCATCCTAGTTTCTGCTCTTGTAAAAGCTGCTCAAATTAAGTATTCTCTAAAACCCAATATGGCTTCATTAGTTTCAAAGTCATATTGCCAGGATGGCATTTCACCTCACTTGTGGGTGGAAGAAAAAATAAAGGACAATTCTTAAATACAGAAGCGTGACAGCAGTCACCGGGGGTCGGCACCGGGTGCCCCGTCGTGGGGAGGGAACGTGGTAGGTACGTTAGCCCTGGGAAAACTCGGGTGAGATCTCCAATTTCTTCCAAGGCACCTGCACTGGCTCAGATACTCCAGCTCGTGCTGGTGCCACCTCTACTTCCAGTGAGGAAAGGTAGGGACAGCAAGGACACCTGACACAAAAAACCTGGGAAACAGGAAAGAACCAGGAATAGGAAAATGAGAATCGAGGAGGAAATCCCGGAAGGGCTGAGCTGTGCTGGGCCGCTGGCCTTCCCTGATACAAACACCACATTCAAAACAAAAAAAACAAAAAACATGGAAGGGCCAGCAGGGCTGTGACTCCCACACCTGCAGAGAAAGCTCAGTTTCTAGAGCTTGGTGTATGAAACTGCGTCTCCACTGTGTGACTCTCAAACAAACGTTCAAAAAAAATCAGCTGGTGACCAAATCTACAGGTCCTCTCCCGCCCCAGCTTAACTGAGGACAGCTGGTATTTGCATTTTTAATAAACACCCCAGGTGATGACGATACACTTGGGCCAGAGACCAGACTATCAGAATCACTGCTCTTGGGCAGGAAAAAGTGGGCAGCTTATTTTGCTCAACGTGTCTTACTAACGGACTTTCACCATCAAGCTCGTTAAGGTTACAACAAATATCGAATCAATCAATATACATAACGTTCTTTAATAAGTGGATATAATAAGCACCATACATGTAAGAGCTGGTATTATTAATGCATACTATCATCATTATAATTATTTTTCTGTGTAAATCAGAGTGTCTACCATGATGTTCACCCTAAAAATCTGTCCTGATTCCACACTGGAATATTGTTTTAGTTTCTGTAGAACTCCAAGGACAGACAGCATCTCTTACTTAAATTTCTATCACCAGTCTGCTGCATAGCTCCAGGTACATAACACAAAGCAAGTGCTCCAAACATGAGTGTGAAATTGAACCAAACTGCAGAGACCAGGGATTCCATAAGGATACTGGCAATGATGAATGGGGAACCGAAGACCTTCCTTTTAGAGAGGTCTTTGTTAAAATTATGGAGACTTGAGGGTTTATTTTTTAAACAAATTTAAAAAAGGAAAATCTAGGGTCATAGGTTAAAAAGCTTAATAATCATAATCATTCCTCTGGAGTTAAAAGTGATTATTAGATACACCTGTAGCATATTGGGGTGTAATAAAATGGCCTAGCATTTTCTTCATGCACCACTGCAATCATACCCTTGATAAACTAAAGAGTTTATTCACACAGATACAGGAACAAAATGATACACACACACAGAAGGAGAGAGGGGGAGAGAGAGAGAGCTCCCATGAAACCATCATGGCATTACCTTGGGTCTACATTTGGGATACTCGTGGTCACCTGGGAGCACCTTGAAAGAAATCGGTACCCGATCGGCCCTCCGGTTGGCACAGAAAGCATCCCAGACAGCTCGATGTACAGCATTATAAACCACATCCAGGCCCGTGAGGGTAACAAAAGCCATAGGCCGACAACATAACTCCACAGGGAAGTCCCACTGTGTGGGGCTCATGGTCAAGGCGTCACGAAACTTCTGAAATACAAGTGTTAATACATTGCTAATTAATTTATTAAAAGCCCACATCTGCATCTAACACGAGCCTCCACCATTTAAAAAGCATTACAAAAAGGCAAAAGACTTCGAGTGCCTGAAAACTGCTGCACCAGTGCAAAAGAAGAGGGCAAAAGGGAAAATTTTAATTCCTGAATTGGAGCTATTAAACTTTAATAACTATTGACATTACATTTAAAAAAAAATCTTTCATATTACAAAGGTTGTAGTCAACTTTTAGACAAATCAGGATTTTCAGTAACAGCTCAAAACATGCACAGATCCTTGGGATGGGCAGACCAAGAAGGCAGGAGGGTGATCAAATTACCTATTTCAGTTATAGAGAAAAATAATTATTGACTTATATTCAATAAAGTACAACTGTCTCTAATTTCTCTGTAATGTCTTCCTAATGTCTAATTTCCAATTTTGTTAGGTATTATTAAAATAAAAAGCTAATTATCTAAATAGCTGTGTTTCCTCATTTCATCACAATCAATACAAATGTACTATTTAAAGGAAAATCTACAAGGGAAAAACCAACAAGGAATGGAAATCTCTAGGAAGACATGTTTCCACTGTGTCCTTTAGCTGAGAACTGGTCTACATAAACACAAGTAAGCACTTCCTTTTGAAAAGCAATTATATAAAAATGTGTTTATCCCAAACAAAATCATTTTATTTTAAAAACAACTTCTTACTTCCAAAAACATGTATCATTATGCCCATTTAAAAGGTGGTCTCCACCAGCACGTCACACAGGACTCAAATATAATTTCTGTGGAAAGCGAGGAGCGCCTCTGCCACCACTTGACAACCAAAATAGTATTTTTAACTGAAAAGTTAATTTAGGGAAAGACTATCAGGCTTCTTGCATTTAAGTACAGAAGGAACAATGGGTACTAAATAAATGGCTCAGAAAGCCTACCAGAAATGACAAATGTCCACAGCAGACAGAGGAGTTTTCGAATTGTTTTAACAGATATTTTGAGGGTTGCATTAAACTAGGAGGACAAAGGACTGCATGTTCAGAAAAAGAAATATTCTAATTCTAGGGAATCTGGGGAATTTGACCCTCTTTTTAATTGAGATGGTCAAAACACAATTTGGGTACCGCTGCTCGATACCAAAGAGTCTACATTAGAGCCTTAAAGGCCCATTTCCTTTAATAAACCCAGAGGCTCAAGAGAATTAGCTGTGGTCTTTGAATGGAGTGGATAGAAGGGGAAACAGAAATGGCTTTTAATCATTTAAAATCACAATGCTCTCCAAGAGAAATATAATATAAACCACATAAATTTTCTAGCAGTCACATTAAAAAGTAAAGAAGCAGGTGAAATTAATTTTAATAATATTCTACTTAACCAATATGCCCAAAATATTATCAATTCAATGTTAATATAAAAGTTATTAGCAAGAGATTTACCTTTTCTTGTGCTAAGTCTTCAAAATCGTGTGTATTGTATGTACCCTCAGAGCACATCTCAGTTTGGGCTGGCCTAATGCAAGTGCTCAATAGCTACACATGGCTCCTGGCTACTATACAGAACAATGCAGCTCTAAATTAAGGTAATTCTGTCCCAAAATTACTGTACAAAAACTGTCTCTGAAATTCTTATCACATTTTACCTTAGAGAGCTGTGGCACTTGAAATGGCTGTACCAAATTCCACAGCCAAAAAAAAAAAAAATTATGGGCAAAAGACAGGTGAAGACGTTGTACGGATCTCAATAACGGCCTGTAGGAGAAACTTCCAGATCTTCTGGAGAAAGAAGCAACTAACCCAACTATGACATGGAAGGAGGTGCAAAAGTAGCAAGTGAACACTCGGGAAGGGAGATCATGTAGGGCAAGAGAAGTCATCTGGAAGCTGGCGTGGCAATAAAATAAGACGTAGAATGACAGACTGCAAAGAAAGGTGACCCAATCAAAGTGGCAGATTAAAAAAATGATGTATACACTATTTTTTAATTAACAGAGGTTCAAAGTGCACGACACAAGGCCAGTTAAGGATGAGAGTCACAGATGTTTAACTACACAACAGTCAAAAGAGGAACTCCAGTTTGAGGCGGGGATGATGGAAAACAGCTGACGCCGAGGATGTGAAGCAACAACCCGACTTAGGAAAGCATTCCGTCCCCAGGGCCGCAGAATCCTGCCCGGGAAGCTCCAATGAGGAAAGGGGGAGAAGAAACGCTGCAGCCCTAAAGGCAGGCGCTATCTTCCTCCTCTCCTCCCCCGTAAACCTGATGGTCCCAGAAACAGGTGCGTCTTTTCTTTACAAGGTAAAAGAGAATTGCACTCGCTGATGCTGTAGGAAAACGCACCCACTACCCTCCCCAGGCCAGCATGGTTAAGCACCAGTTCTCTCCCCTGGCGGTCTGGCCCGGACTCACCCAGGCCGCACGCCCCGGGCCCACTGCATCTGCTGCCGGTCGCCGCCAGCCGGGGGAGGACGAGGGGAAGCAGGCAGGAGTGTCAGAGAACGCCGGGAGCCTTGCCCACCGCCACCGCCCCTGAGCCGGGGCCAACCAGTGAGACTTCCCTACGTCCACCTGCGCAGGCCCAGGAAGTACTCTCTGGGCCTGAGTGACAGTGGTCTACACCAATCGCCGTGCCAGAACTTTACGCAGCTCCACAAAACGTAAGGAAGACGCTCCGCTTCCTAGAGGAGCAGGAGCTGGAGGCGGGGAGAGGAGGAGCCAATAGGAGAAGCGAGAAGGGGAGGAGGCGTGGCCTCTGCCGTTGCCGCCCCGCAGCCTCTCCCCAGAAGCCCCGGGGCTCCAGCTGCCGCGATCTCGGGCTTCCAGCCCGCGGTCCCCGAGCCGACGGCTTCGCGCTGCCCGGGGGCCGGGGGCGCGCGTGACTCTCTGCCGTGCGAAGAGTCTGCAGCCGAGGGCACGGAAAGGGGACGCCCCGGCCTCGGGGCCACTGCCCTCGCTTTCTCTTCGTTGTCGCGAACACCGTCCGCCCGGGAGGCGCCCCGTGACCGGCGCGATGAGTGCCAACGAGGACCAGGAGGTGAGTCCCAGAGCCTGACGCCCCTTTCCCGCGCAGGCGCGGTGCCTGGGCTGACCCCCGCCCCAGACCCCCTACGTGCCCTCGCCGCTGCAGCGACAGCCTATTTGGGGTGCCCCAAGTTTACCGGTGTCCAGCGAGAAGAGGCCTGGCACGCTTGCCTGGGTAGGGGGCCGCCTCTGCCTTTCCTCCCCCTGCAGTTTTCAGTTTTGCAAACCCCAGGGTCCCCCTCACCGGGTCTCCTAATAACAAGGGCGAAGTGTCCTTGGTCCGCGACTTGGCTCGCCTTAAATCCCGTGCGTGATTTAGCCCTGTGTACTGAGTTAGACCCTTTGGAATTTGATCTGTTTTAAATTTTAAAATCTCTTGGCTGGTAGAGAAAGTTAGTTGAGTTAGTTAAATTTCTGACATAAGAAAATAATGACACTAGTGTCTTCAGGCTGTGTTGCTTTGTGGAAAGAATCATTTATCCATCTGATAGTTGTCTAGTGGATACCTGAGTATTGAGCATACCTGAGCTGCATGCTTTACCCTGATATACTTTCTCACGAAATGCCTCTTTGACATTGAGTCACATGGTATTAGAGTTGGAGGGGATGCTACAGGTCACCTCGAGGGGAACCTTTTAAATTTGAAATGTGTACATTTGAGAAGAAGGGTCTACAAACGTAAAGTGATTGTCCCAGGGATGCACAATGAGTTTGCAGTAAAATCAAGACTAGAATCCAAGTCTCCTGGAAAAGTAGTAATTGACTTTTCATTTAGAATATATTACTTGAAAGTTAGAACTTTTACACAGTAGATGTGGTGGAGGATTGGTTGGTACCTTTAAAGAAAACCCCATGTCCAACAAGCTATGATATCTGCATCCGTCTAAAATATTCTTACCAGGTGAGTTCCTAAGCTAAGGCATGAACAGTTTGTACTATGAAGCATGAAGCATATAGTGTAATTTTTCTCAAAGTTGGGTCCATGGACCACCGCCTAGAACCATTTGGGTGATTGTTAGAAAAACAGACTCCTGAACTCTACCTTGGATGTACTGAATCAGAATTCCTGTGGTGGGCTCAGGGATCTGCATTTAACAATAAAATTCCATTCTTCTTCCACATGACTGATTTTCAGATGTTTGAGGACCGTTTTCCTGCCCAGTTTTTCAGACCTCCTCTTCTCTTACTGATTTTTAGCTTTTCTGTATTGGTTCATTCTTTTTAGTTCCTTCGCTCTTCTGGAATTGTGTGTCCGAATAGAGTACAAGTTTGTAAGTGCTTTATGCAAAGCAGATTTGTCTTTCATCCTCTACATTGTATGTTTAGGTTTCTAAAGACAAGTTATTCTATTTACCCTGTGAAGTTTCATCTTGTTCGATTGTTTTTCAAGGACTTTTTGAATTCTTACTCTGCCACCAGCACGATTCACTATCCCATCAGATTTCATCCACAAATTTGATAAGCCTGCCTTCAATTTTTGTTCCTGTCCAAGTCATTTAATTGAATATGGGGAAGGATTAAGGATGGAAGGAACAGCACTGTATTTTGTGTAAGGGTGTTTGTTCCAGTCTCATCTCAGTTCTTCTTGAATCCAGCTTGAATTGTTATATATTTTTTCTGTGAAGGTAGCAAGAGAAACCTGTGGGACCTTACTGAAATCCAGGTAGACTGTTTTGTGCCTTTCCCTAATGTACCAATCCGGTTACTCTCTCTAAGAAGGGTTGTGTACATCCATTGCTTTTTTCATATACTTACCAAGTCCTAGGGGTGACTCCTGACCCTCCCAAGTCCTCACAAACTGTTTCTTTAGTAATCTATCCTAAAATTCTGTCCATGTAGGTCAGACTCACCCATCTTTAGTTTGTAGAATTCTTGACATGCTACTTTTTGAAAACTACAATGTGTACCCAAGTACAGTCTTTCTTTCCTTTACCTCTTCATAGGTGTTTGTCAGTAATCAGGACACTGTTTGGGTCGTCTCATTTGTAAGCCTACAATGATTCAAGAAATATTTCCGGGCAAAGATTACTAGTTATACTTCCTCTTGGGGTCCTTTTTCCCACCTTGGGTGGATAAACTTGTCTACCTTTTTCTAACTACTATTTTTTAAAAGTTCCTTTTACTGTCCTTAAGTGTTTTTCCAAGTTTTATATCACTTTGTGGTAAGGATTACAAATATAAATAATATATGTAAATAGTGGGAAATTACTGGGCTTCGTGGTTCTCATCTGCAGGTTTAATGCTCTTTTCTATCCCGGGCTGCTCTTCAGCAGAGTGATAAAGTTGCTGTAAACTCCAAATCTTGTTTTCCTCCCTGGAAAGGAGAGAATAACGAGATCTTCACAGGACTGATGCGAGAATTAAGTGAGACAACCCACTGGAAAATGCTTAGAGGTGCCTGGCACATAGTTTTAAAAGATTAGTATTGTGGTGTGTTAGTGATAATACATGTGTGTTACGAACATGGAAGGCCGTGTAAGTTAGCCAAGTTCTACATAGTTGAATGGGCTTCAATCAGAAATGAAAGATCCTCTATTTCCAATCCATTTGTATGACTAAACAAAACTCGTTTGACCCGTTTCTTTCAGATGGAACTGGAAGCATTACGTTCTATTTATGAAGGAGATGACAGTTTCCGGGAATTGAGTCCAGTTTCATTTCAATATAGGGTAAGACATGGCATGAACAGGAGTACTTACTACTTTGCTAGAAAAGACAAAAGTTGCTTTCTAAAATGCTGGGTTTGTTTTTTACATTTAGTGGTCAGAAAATAAAAGTGAATCAAGTAACAATTTAGGCTGAAATTTTTTTGTCGTTTAATGTTAAATATTAAAAAAAAAAACCCACAAAGCAGAGCATGTACTAAAAATGTTACAGGAGAGATTAGCATAGCCCCGTGCAAGGATGAGAGATGATGTGGTGGCTTCCCCTAACACCGTAGCAAGGCACCCAAGATCTTCTGGCATCAACCCTGGGGATGCTGGTTGATCACTGGGTTAGGGCAACAAAATCCAGATCTCTTCAATGTAAAAGCATCTTTTCCATTTCTTAGTTATGAAGTAATCTGTGTGGTGATACTGCAAAACCATGTGAATATCTTGTTTCTCAAGAACTTTTCACCTACAGATTTTACATCCATTAATAATCCTTGACAGAAACAGTCATCGCAGTGGTGGTTGCACAATGGCGATTTTCTAATCAAACCATGGAATGGTTCGTGATTAGCATCTCACGATTTGTGAGATCCTGCCTTTCCCAGAGCCGTTGAATCAGAATCTGAGCAGAGGAAACAGTCAGTCCCGACCTGGGGACTTACACAAGAACACTGGCCTGGATTCCTTTTGTCATAAAAGACATTCAAGAGGAGGTGGGGAGGGGGCTGGGGACTGTTCTCAGTTAAAGCAGAACAAAGAGGACAACCAAATGTAGTCCACGCCCCTCAATGGATTATGGATTTGTGAGTTGAGGAAGTGGCTTATTAAAGGACACTTCAGATATGATTGGAGGACTTTTAATATAGATTATGAATTAGATAATATTTTTGTATCAATGTGGAATTTCTTACATGTGGTAACGGTATTGTGGTTACAAAGGAGAATGTCCTTATTCTTAGGATACTTTACCCATAAATATTTAAGGACACTTCACAATGCCTGCAGCTTAGTTTCAAATGATTCCACAAAAAACCAAAGGGGGGAAAATCATTGGGGAAAGGGAGTTGATCCTGTAAAGGAGAGGAAGAAAGAGGAAGCAGATGAAGTAAAAGGTATTTGGTGAATAAGATACATGTCAGTGAGTGTTCAATGTTCTATTCCAATTTTTTTGTAAGATTAAAATATTTCAAAATAAAAAGCCGGGAAGAGCAAAAGAAATAGAAAAAAATCTTTGAATAATTCAGGTTAAAAAGGGGGTCAAAATATACAAACTTCCAATTATAAAATAAATCCAGGAGGTGTAATGTGCAGCCTGGTGACTACAGTTGATGATACCCTACTGTCTCTTTGAAAGTTGCAAAGAGTAGGTCTTAAAAGTTCTCATCACAAGGAAAAAAAAACGATGTGTGGTGATAGATGTTAACTAGACTCATTGTGGTGATCACTTTGCAATATATACAAATACTGAATCATGCTGTACACCTGAAACTAATACAATGTATGTCAATTATACCTCATAAAAGAGTGAATAAAAAGAAGAAAACTTACTCAAGAGTTGCTGTCCAGCTTAAGGCATTCCTTTTCCTTATCTCTCTCTCCTTTTCTTTTTTTCTCTAAATTTTACGTTTCATTTTCTGATTTCTTGGGATTGTGCTAATGCATCTGAATTTACCTGTTTTTTTTTTTTATGAGTGTTTTCCCCTAGACTAAGCCATGCATCTAATTTTCTTGGCAGCAGAAGTTTTAATTTTGAAGTCCAATTTATTGATTTTTAATTTTGCTATTAATGCTTTTTTATTGTGATAAAAAATATATAATGTAAAATTTACCATTTTTACCATTTTAACCAATTTAAGTGTACAACTTAGTGATGTTAAGTACATTCACACTG